CTTGGCCAAAAAGTTGCACTGATTGGGTTAAGAGCAATAAGCAGATCAGCATTAAAGATGCAGGCTATGGTCCAAGAACTTCAGGCAGTGAGATGATTGGATTATCGGATTATCGACCACCAGTATTCCCACCTCACGCAGAGGTTTGATAGTTGTGGCTGATGAGAACTTTGAGCAGGTGGATCACCTCGCCTTTCTCAGGACAGAACTAGCCTCCTTTACTTAGAGCTTGGCCATCATGCAGAATGGCATCATGGACTCCTGCAATGGATAGACACTCCTCCAAACTGTCCATCGCAGAGCAGCCAAGGTCAGTGATTCAGGCAATAGCTGAAAAATAGGCACAGCCTTCCGCTTCCTTATAGTTCCATTGACACAGCAGATTTCCAGGGAACCTCTGGATCCTGTTGCAATATTCCCTTGTGACAGTTGTCACCAGCTTGCTGGAATTCACATGCAGTGCAAAACAAAAAAGATTTAAGTTCAGATTCAAATTCAGTGCATCCATCTCAAAATGTACAGTTCAACTCAACTCCCCCCCCCCCAATTCTGACTGATCACTGATCCTAACCTTAAACACTGGCCTCTTACTGGCCCAAACAGAAACAATAACCCAAGTCCTTGCCCTGCTCACCCAGGACATAGATGATCTTGCTTCTCTTCTTGACAGCAGCTTGGAAGCTTGCTAAGGCAAGACATTAGAATTCTTCAACTTTGCTTCCCCCTCCCCACAAATACTCTGATCTTTAGGTCAATTTACAGAATTTAACATTCTCCACATTCCTAAAACAAAGGAAATATGTTTCTTAATTCCATTTACAGTATTCCATGTGGACCTAGGGTACATACAAGCTCAATTAATGTACACCTAAAAAATCAGTACTTCTACAAAAAAAGTAGTAACAAGTTTACAGTACAGCGAATTGACCTTAGAATTTTGTAAAGATGTATATCCCATCAAAAAGTGGTGGACATTCACTTTTTAAAAAAAAAGTCAACACACCTAAGGCTGCAGTAAGTTTACAGTCGGTTTTACATAAAGAACATTTCAAGTCCCACCCCCCAAATTTGGGTTCCATAGCAGTACAAGACCAAAAACACCAACCATCTTCATTACTTAACAGCTGCAGCCTTGACTGGAACACCATGAGGGGAAAGGTTTTAGAGCTTCAACATTTTAAACAATTGAAATACAAAAGCACTAAAAACCTATTGTTTGGCCACTGTATATAGATTTAAGCCTTCCAGCCACATCATGTTTTCTACCATCAGAGAGATTACAGCTTGTACATATACAAACTTTTGGTAAAACTAAGCTTCACATTCACTACTCAGCTCCTTCAAATGTGTTCTAAAAATTGAACCAAATAGAAATGGTTTACTACCATAGTATTCTATACAGTCACAAGTCAATACACAGGAGCCAAGGGCAAACTATGCAGTACTAAACAAAGCACAATTACACATCCAGAACAAGGGTGTCCTCCAGAAAAAAACACGTTTTCATACTGCTCTCTCCCTTCTCACAAGGCACAGTACACAACCAATTCCAGTCAGCATTGCTTTTAGTGCAGGAAATTAGAAAAATACTGTCTCACTGGGTTAAATCAGGAAGTCTGCCTTACACTAGACAGGAGCATAGTTTCCCCCATTTTACAATTTACTTAATTCACTTCTAAATTTCAGTCAATGTAAGATTTAGTTACATGTGTGCACCCATGAAATAAATCTTACATACTGCTGATTCTTTTCCAGTGGTACCATAATACAATTTACCCAATTTTTTCCCAGTGCTTGCACAATAATTCCAATATTTGGCACTCATTTCCTGATTAACCTGTGCTTCTGCTAGGGGAATACTGCCATTAAGGCTAGAAAACCTACAAAGAACTCCAGCAGCTGCAAGCTAAACGAAGGCTTTAAAATCAGGGTCCCCTCCTACCTGGAACGGTCAGCTTTGGCTCAACCAACCAGGTGGCTCAGGTGCTCCTGGAAACAGTCATCACAAAGCTGCTGTAAAGACCATCAGTCAGAACAGGAAGCTGTTCCTACCTTTAAAAGATGCTTAAGTGTTGTCAAGCCCAAAGCTGCCCCACACATGATCTCCCGTGGTCCCTTTTCCTGGTTGGTAGAGAACTCACTCAGCAACTAACTGGGTGCCCTGGCTGTTGTATTGGTTTAGAAACACTTAACTCCTCAAGCAGATCTTCACAGAAGAGAAAGCACCCAGTCTACAGTGTGCCACATCTGCATGTTATTCCTGGCAAATAAAGGTCATCCCTCTGGGAGCAAAGGCCTGGTCAACCATTCCAACAGCAGAGAACCTGAAGTGGAGAAAGATTTAGATTTGTGCCTCTGCACTTAGAAACAGTAAAAAAATATTTACTTCCAGCTCCAGTTTTGTACTAAACTGCACAAATGTTCACAGTGCAGCACCTATCCAGGACAAACCAACAGGAAAAAACCCTGCAGAGAGCAAAGAGAAACCCCCCCACTCCATGCTTGTTGCTACAGGGGAGGGATCCAGTGCAGTTCCTCCTGTGAGAAGCAGTTTCTGTGCCAACACCCATCAGGAGAACCTGGCTGTCATGCTGTCTCCACTGAGCCTTAACCAGCAAGGAGTCTGCAGTGTGCCAATTCACTGTTGTACTGCAGTGTATCTAAAGTGATTTACTTACATGTGTGCACCCATGAAATAAATCAGATACAAAGCAGTAATTCACTTTTTGAGAGCCAGAATGACAGCCAGTCAAGTGCATGTCAGTGTAGAAGTGCAGCACCCAGAAGAAAGTCAGGAGAAAAAAAAAACACAAAAAGGCCTACACCTCATATTTAACACTCAAACATGATAGAAAATCACCAAAAGCTTCCAAAATCTAACACTAGGCCTATTCTAATGGGTAAAAAAACACTTAATACTCATGAACTGGTTATTAAAAGCCACGTATATGGAAAATTAACCTACTCCAAGTGAAAAACATGATACAGGAGTGAAATTCACCTCTTCTCCAGGGACAGTGTCCTTCTAGACACTACCTTTGCAACTATTCCAAGAACCATGGGCATCCAGGAAATTCAAGGACTGCTTGCAGCACCTCTTCACTTTCAGCTGTTGAAACCATAAGACTTCAATACTTACAGGTGGGCATCAACAGGTCACACAGTGAGTATCCTTTTAGCCACCCAGTGAGCTTCCTCTGAACAATTCTCCAAGCATGTCACTCCACACTGTGCTTTCAGATGGCAAAGGACTGGGAGCTCTGTTCATTGCACTGTAGTTTAACTCACAACAATCAACACCACTGCTGACCAGTCTTATAAAAAGAAGCAGCTCTGTGCACAGAAGCCCAAGGTTTCCACAAACTGTTCTGACAAGATCTCAACTGGCAACTCCACCAGCATCCTCTCTCCAGTGACTGTGCTTATTGCCACGATCTTCTTCTCAGAACAGCACCTGAAGGAGACAAGGGAAGCAAAACAGTGATGACCACCCCATTACCACAGAGAGGGGACCAGCACAAGTGCTGTACAGACTGATCCCAGCCTTCAAAGCCTCACACTAATCCTGACCTGTATCTCCCCTCTACTTACCTTCAGCTCACCTTGTTCACTGAGGGAAGCCCAAGAACACAAGCAGCACCACAGCTTTCTACACTCCAGCAGAGACAGAAGCACCAGCATGTTGGACAGAGTAGGAGAGGAAGTATATTCTTCCTTGTTATCCTAGTGAAACTGCTCAGTCAGGATATAAATCCTCTTTCTTGTTGCTGGTTTGAGACCTAGAGAAAAAAAAAATCAGTATTTAGTAAGAGTTTCATACACTTAAATCAGAACCCAGCTGTCACAGCTGTGATCATCTGTTTCATAACTCTTCAGAATCCTACAAGTAGAGGAAGAGACTAATTTCTATAGATGTTAGAAAATTTAAAATTGTCTCAACCAAAAGCAAATAGGAATTTCACAATAACCTTAACTTCACCCTATGCTTTCACAAACTTAAATTTCTTAAAGTTATTTAAAAGAAAACTATGAAAACCCTTCCAAACTTCTCTTGATTAAAAAAATACATAGCAAAACCACTCACCTTGCACAGTAACACCAAAAACTAACAACCACCAGCCCAACACCACGAAGCCTCAAGAGCTCTTTCTCTTGCTATAGACAGAAACAAACAGAGCCCAGCTTCCCAGGCTGCCTTGATATAAGCCTCACGATGACCTCAGGGGAATACCTAATTCACCAAGAGCCAATCCTAACATCTCCTCAAAGTGCAAACACGAAATCCCCACTGCTTCTAATACAACACACACCTGCTTCCTATGACCAAACAAGTATTAGCCAGCTAACCTATTGATCTCTCCATCCCAAAGCCAAATTAATTTCCAAATTACTTACAAGAACACTCATTAAATAGCAATATGCTCCAATTATTCAATAAGTTGCAGTTTCTTAGTGATAAAACCACCTTTTTAGCCCTTCAACTTAATCCAGAAATGGTGAAAAGTGACTTTGAAGTCAAACTTCAAGATCTTTAAAGTGTCCTTTACATAACTCCAAATGTTCAAAGTGTATGTATCCATACTGGATATCTCAGATACAGATGCAGCCATTCAAAATGAGCGGGGTACACTGCTGTAAAACGCGGTGGGCGTGTTGCATCAAAACCCATCATTAAGCGTCATATCTCGTCATACTGCATAATACCGCAGCTATGATAATAGTATCTGGAATCACCGCCAGGTGGAGCATATAAAGCTTAATCTCTCATATACAACATTTGAGCTCTCACCACAAAACACCTGGTTTCGAATCCCGATCACTGCTGAGGTACAATCCAGTTAAGAATTCAAGTTGTATACTCTTTAGACTTTTAATTTTAAACTGTGTATTACAGCATGCTAATCATTAAACATTAAAAAGTTGGTATATTTATAAAAGAAAGGTTGCTCAGTTGGACAAAAGTACACAACCTTCCATCTTCATCATAAATATTTTATGTATCAAAGTCTTTTAACTTGGTAATTTACATGGGTTCTGGCTTTAATGTACTTGTTCTAACATTATTAATGTAGCACTCCCAGGTTCACATGGGTATGCAGCCTCACCACTGCCACCTCAGGGCAGTCCCCCACCACTGGGGACTCAAACTCAGGCTTTCAGTGTCACTCAACAGGGAACCAGCCAGCTGAGCTAAAGGTAGATCTCCCTTCAGCCAGGCGGGTGAGGACTCTGCTATCCACAGGGAAGGGCGGTGACGTCACCGCGCTGGTAAGCTGGCTCACAAAACCTGCAATGCCAGCTGTATGCATTACATTAAGCTTATATTCTGTACTTCAGAAAAAAGTTATAACATTTTATCCTTTTCCAAGAATACGTACAGTATAATAGTAAGAACACCACTTGCCTTTATTGTAAAAAGATAAATGCTGTAGTGATTTAACATCACTTGATAGCTATATTAAGACGGAATTGTGTAACTAAGCAGCTAAAGTTTTGGAAACATTTTGACATTTGTTTCTTTAAAACAAAAAACTTCTGTTGTTCTTGTAGTGGTAATGAGCACTGCAATGTAGCGAGCTGTACCCAGATGGTTCAAAGCATGATCGGAGAATTGGTTTCAGTTTTGTTCTCATATAGCTGAATGCATAAATAGTCCACTATTAAAAGTTTTGGAAACTATGTTTAGCCAGCAGTCATGTCACCCTGCAACTCACAACTGGCAACCCACTGAAGCTAAGCAGGTGTGAGCCTGGTCAGTACCTGGATGGGAGACCTCCTGGGAAAAATTAAGATTGCTGCTGGAAGAGGTGTTGGTGAAGCCAGCAGGGGGTGCTCACTCTGTGGTCTATGTGGGTCCTAATGTCCCAGTATAGTGACGGGGACACTATACTGTAAACAAGTGCTGTCTTTCAGATGAGATGTAAAACCAAGGTCCTGACTCTCTGTGGTCATTAAAAATCCCAGGGTATTTCTCAAAAAGAGCAGGGAGGGGGTCCTGGCCAAATTTCCCATCTCTCCTAATAATCCACCTCTATGAATTGGGTACATTACTTTGTTCTCCTCCCCCCCCCTCCGACAGCAGGTGGAGCAATGCGCTGGTTGGAGTATTCTTGGTCCCATTTAATTGCACCCTGCTGATGCGGGATTAACGCTAGGATGAGAGAGAGAAACTACTATTAAAATATAATGTATCATTGACTTAATCATTATACATGCTCATTTATTATATGTATGAAATGAAAAGGTCCTGGAAGAAGGAAAGCGCATTGCTGCCATGAAGGAAAAAAAATCTCCCATATCTCCTTGCATCAGATAGTAATTTGCGAGTACATGATGTGATCACGCAATAGCAAAATTGTCACACCTCTGTTATCATGATTTGACTTTCAGTTTTTGGCAGCAGAATCGTTTCCAGGGCAAACACGTTCGTTTGAGGTTACATATGAATCACCTGACACATGCTCTTAAAATGTTCTTGAAATGAGCAAGCATTTCAAGCTAATGTAGAGCTTGATTAGAATAACCATTCACTGTTCTCCAGTTATACATTTAGTGGCATGTTAATTGACAAAATTAAGAGAGTTTACCCAGTAGAGCAGGTTTTCATACAACATTTTATCTGACTCAGTTTTGGAATACACTTCCTGATCTACATTGTAGTACCACACAGTTGACCAAAAGTCTCTGGAAAAACAAAGTTGTAGTTAGGAGCAAATTATCACTCATTATCAATCAAGTTTCCTTGGGACCCCAAATCTAGCACTGAGCTTACAAAATGTCTAAGTAGTGTGGGAATAATAGCCCTAACCCTAGCTGGGGTTTCAACACACCAATCCTGCAAGGAGTCCCTGAAGCCTTATAGGTGGGCATGGGGATTTTAAAGTCCACACGGAATTTGACAGGATGCCAGTGCAAGGACTCCAGGATAGGAGTAATGTGATCACTTGCACTAGACCTGATCAGGATTCTGGCTGCCGTATTTTGGACATAATACAGTTTGTTCAATGTGGATTTAGATACCCCAGCAAGTAGAGCATTACAGTAGTCGATTGGGGAGAACTCAAATGCGTTAATCAGCTTTTCAGCCACAGTTAGTGATAACACAGGGCGGAGTCTAGCGATACATCTGAGGTGAAAAAAAGATGACAATATGCTGCACATGTGGTTCAAATGTTAAGCCAGAATCGAATATCACCCCAAGGTTTTTAAATTTAGACTGAAGCTCAAGTATAGAACCATCTACAGATAGACCTACAGGATTTGGCTTTGCAAAGTTGATGGGGGTGCCAATAAGCATGACTTCAGTATCGTCACAGTTAAGATGAAGGAACTTTTTAGTCATCCAAGTTTTTAAGTCAGAAATGCAATTAGATAGAATAGAGACAGCCACATCAGTGTCAGGTTTGGTATGTATGTATATTTGAGTATCATCAGCATGTTTGAGGCCATGTGCTCTTAAAAACTGACCAAGTGGAAACGTGTAAAGTTGAAAAGCAAGGGGTTCAGTATTGAGCCCTGAGGAACACCAGACTTAAGACCAATTTGAGACCTATACCCATTAAGAGACAAAGTGACAGCGATCAGTGAGGTAAGACTTGATCCATTTGAGAGCAGTGTCAGAAACTCAAAACAGTCTCAAGATGAGAAAGTAAGATGTCGTGGTCAACAGTGTCAAAAGCAGCACTGAGATCAAGAAGGATGAGTATAAAAAGAGAATTAGAAGCTATTAGTAGATCATTAGTGACTTTGACCAGGGCAGTTCCTGTGCTGTGAAGATGATGTAAGCCAGATTGGAGGGGTTCGAAAAGGTTATTTCCCATGAGGTGGTCATGTAACTGAAATGTGACAGCATGTTCTAGAGAAGGCTTCCCCTTCTCCTGGATCATCTCTCGCGATTTCCAACTGGACCGTAGCAAGCCTCCAGAGGATACTTTGAAAACATGGCGTCCATTTTAAAAGAAACGCTTCCAAAAAAAAAAAAAACAACAACTCTGTTCTCCCTGTACTTAACCGCAGTCTACACAAGGAAACATCAGCTCCACAGCTTCCCCCGGCGCCCCCTAATGACATCACCCACGCCGCCACCACTCATCCTAACGTGAGGGCTCTGAAGCCACCCGCGGCTCTGCCTGTGCGTCATCTGTCTTGTCTTGTCCTGATATGTCTGTGTCTCTTCCCCAAGCAATCCATGCTGAACAACTGCACCTAGCCTCTTCCACTCAGCCTCCTTCCCTAAACTCCTGCTGCTGAGTCTAAGGCCCCAGGCCCATGTCCCTCCCCAACCCCCTTCTCTGCTTAATCTAATTTCTGCACTCTCTTCTGTCTCTACCTCTGGCGTCCAACACGGCTCAAGCTCCGCCAGCTTGGTGCCTTCGGCCCCGGTTTCTTTCCTTTCGGTCCCTGCTGCCATTTCTACGGCACAAAGGCCAGCTAGTAAACAACCCCCAGCTCAGCCAGCAGGTGGCCCTTACCCTCCCCCACCCCCTGGCGTCCAAGACGACTCGGCAGCCTCCTCATTCCTTCGCGCAGCCCTCGCCCCTGCTTCAATTCCTCCTCAACAGTCTTCGGCTTCCATATCCCAAGCCACCGAGCTTCAGGCCCCAGATCCGTCTAACCCCTCCTACCACAATCTGCTTTCCGGTCTTCTTCCCTCCTCATCTTCTCCCTTCCCTGGTGTCCAACACGGCATCCGTCATCCCATGCCTTCAGCCCTGGACTCCAATCTCCCCTTTACTAAGGACTTTCCTCTACGAACAGCCATTCCTCTCCCAGCTCCTCTAACACACTCAAGTTTAGTCCTCCTCCCATTCCCTTTTCACTCCAGCAGCAAATTCTATGAGGTGCGGATGTCAATCTAGCTCACCTTCTCTCTTCCTCCCTTACAACTCCGATTCTAGAACAGTCGACTGCAGCTCGATTTCCGTTACTCTCAAATCTTCTGACCCTTACTCTGCTTCAGTCCTTCGAATTTCTGACTTCTGCTTGGCTTGCAGCATTTTCTGCGACATCACGTGCTCCGCCTTTCCCGAACGTCGTCAGGAACTCGACGATTACATGCACAGCATCCCCGATCTATCTGTCCTTTTCAAGGGCTCCATGTTCTACGATTACCATAAGCAGTTCTTGGCCGAGGCCACTGCCCGCCTACTCCAACGGAACCAGCGCACCTACTGGGGAGTCCTCGACATTGAGCTCTACTGACATACTTTCACCGGCATCCGAGCTCTTTCCTGCGACTTCTGTTACTCTTGGACACATTCAGCAAATCTTTGCCCAGATACCGTCCGCAAGCTCAATCCTGACTCCGCCCCTTCTCCCCCACAGCAACTATT